CACGCTTGGAGAAGCATCATACGGGAAATCATTGAGGCCGGCTAGAGCAGTCATGATCGCACTCGTAACAAGTACAAGTAAGTAAGTACTGATGCATTCGGCAGACGTTACCACTTACTCTACGATTTTGAGTATATCAAGAGAGCCTAAATGGTTGTAAGTCAGATTATAATGCGGGATTTGAAGCAGACCAGTCTCACATTATTTTCTATCCACTCCGTATTGTCTGATTACATTTTTCGTGCGACGGTATGCCAAGAGATTGGACATATTGGCTGCTGAAATATATCAGGGATTTGAGTAAATAAAAATATCTCGCTGCTGGACGTGAGTAGGAGGAAATTTCCAACGCAGAATGCAGGCCCCATTTACATTTGTCTCTGGGAAGGGAGAGGCAGGGGAAATAAACCATAAGAAATTTATATTAGCAGTCATGGTAGCTTGCTTTGATATTATTGGTTCAAATGAGATATGGCAACCCATCAGAAACACTTATGAGGAACAAACTCTGCAAGAAGGACTTGACCACCTAGGCGAATGGTCCACAAATGGTTAAGGTGGTTGAACTTTGAGAATTGGGTCAGCCCAAAAACGAAAACGGCGAGCGCGACGGGTGACTCTCACAACAACATACTTGATGGCAGGTGCCTGTCGAACGTAACCGAACGAAAAGACCGGGGAATTCCTATTGCACCCTCACTGAAGCCGTCTCGGTAATTTGTTTGGGCTGCCTAGCGGGCAAACAATGTTCCGTTTGCCATTAAGCGAACTTTTGTCGACATCGATAAAGAACTATTTGGCAAAATATATTGGGCATTTATTCATTTACATCTCGAATATGGAGTTCAGGCGTGGCGCTTACGGCTGCAAAAAGACTACCAGCTGCGGCTTAAGTCCTCATCTTACGAATGTAGACTAGAAGCACATAATTTTTTTTCTCTTGAGTGAGGCTAATCAGAAGTGATGTTTTACAGACGTACTGGCTCGTGAGAAATCGGGACTGTGCCCTGCAGTTTGATAAATTCTTCATATTCGCCATATCAACTCACCTCCCGTGGGAATTCCCTAAAATTCCGGGGAACTTTATCCCATCTGGACGTCCGCATCCATTCGTTTTCACAGCGACTCATTGATGCCCTAAACGGACTGCCCGATAAGGTCATAATGGCGAACTTGACAGATGCATTCACACGCAAACTGGATGTACATTTACTTAACAGATAATGTTCAGCACTGTCAGCAGTCACCGATGCATTGCTCACACATGCATATAAAAAGTGTATATGTGTATATGTTACTCACTATTTTATATTAACGCGCTTTATTTTTGATATTTTATGCATAAGGTATTCAATAGGGTCTTAAAAGGCATTGCCTACTACCCTAAATATACTGAACTATACTGAGCTAAGAGTTGAGAACCAAAAGCAATCATAGAAAATCTCTTTTTTGTTCATACCATGTTCTTGATGCATAATCCTGAGTGGATTCGAGCCAAGGGAGGACGAAAGCGCCAGGAAGCCGAGCCCAAGACAGGTGGATAAAACGAAGGGGATGGAGAAGATAGCAAAAGATGCCAGAATGAAGCCGACGCTGCTGTGATTTGGTGTTAAAGCGATTCCTACTGACCAGTTGGCCTGACATACGAGGAACGTACTCCAGATAACTTTGGAGGAAAGTGAGAAAAGCATTATCAATTTGGAAATATTCGGTCAAATATTCTTCATCATAAATCATAACCGCCTCGGACAGATGACCGAAACAGATGACCAACGCAATATGCGTTGGTCGTTTTCCAGAAAAAAAATATATGAGGTGGTGGAAGATTCATTTGGTACGGAATATTTGGCTCCGAAAAAGGGGAAAAAATGGAATAAATTTTTCAGTTTGATAATTTACAAGTTCCCGTTCACACAATTTCAATATACATTTACTCATATACCTGTTCCAGCGGAGCTGTTTACAGTGGTTGCATGAGTCAGCGCGTATGCAAAGGAATATGAAAAGACTTTCCGTCACGACTGAGAAAATGTGAATCTAGGCATATAAAAAGCGCCGCTACCGCTTTATTGTTGATTGGTGATATCTTGTGGACCTCAATGAGTCTTTTTGAGTGATTTATAACGTCTAATCGAAGAACTAGAAATCCCAGCGTTTGCTAGCAAAGGCAGAATCGTTCGCTAAAAGGCGGAGGAAGCTGGTCTTGTGTGCACAAAAGAACTTCCTGCAGGCTTCGAGTTTGGCATGGTCAACGATCGCCCAACGGCCGGCACTTTCCCGTTCTCTCTGTCTCTCTCGTTTCGTTTCCCACTGGACCGGCTCTACCAAATCCTCATTGTTGCATATCCAGCCATTTATTATCGACCCCTACCCTTCTCCACTATTCCTATGACTTATATGGATGAATAGACAAACATAGCTGGCCTGAAGAGCACTTATTGAAGGCTCGCTAACTGCTCTTCTGAATTGCCTAATGGTAATTTTTTGAATTCAAAATAAAATGTGTCAGTGGTGCGTGGGGTCGTCAAAATATCGACCTATAGCTATGATTAGCGGTTGACCGCTGATTACCTTTACGGAGTACTTTAGTGTCACTCTTTACGACCTGACGTAGAACGTAACTAGTTGATGCGGTTGAGGTGAATTTGTAAAACCTCTGCCAGCAAAATGGATACAAAGGTGCCAATACTTCAATTAAAGGCCCACACAAAAAAGACCAGAGCGTGCCAGAACCAAACTTGTTATGGGGCAGGGCTCGCAGTCTTATGAAACACAGCTGTTGAATCTCAACTTCTTTCCATTGCACTACAGGCAGCTTCGGGGGGACCTGATACTAGCATTCCGCATATTACGTCTT